ACAGGAATATCTACATCATCTCCAAGCTGCTGGTCACCAACATCATCATGTTGCTCATCATTCTGAACATTATTTTCAGCAGTATCCAGATCATGTACATGCCTCCGAACTAGATCAACATCAGACAAACTATTATCAATCTCTGGTGTAGTCTTCTCCATCTTATCAATGTCTTCAATGGTTTGGTCTTCCATGAAATTCACATCACGGCTTCTAACAGCTTTCTTCCCAACTGGATCATATAGCTTGTAGCCAAATTCATCCTGACCATACCCGATAAAAATACACTGCCTTGTCTTTGCATCCAACATGGATCTCTCATCCTTTGGAACATGAACATATGCTTTGCAACCGAAGACACGCAAATGATCATATTTGACATTCTTGCCAAACCAAATTTTGTCTGGCACCTCTGCATTCAAAGCAACCGCAGGACTCAGATTAATAACATGCACTGTCGTGTACAATGCTTCACCCCATAAATGTTTAGGCAACTTTGCTTCAGAAATCATACACCTAACTCTTTCAATCAAATTCCTATTCATCCTCTTCGCTAAACCATTCAGTTGAGGAGTTTTAGGAGGAGTCTTTTCATGTCTGATACCGTGCTGCTTGCAATAAACATCAAATGATCCACAATACTCACCACCATTGTCACTACGAATGCATTTCAGCTTCTTGCCTGACTGTCTCTCCACCATAACATGGAACTCTTTGAATTTCTCCAGAACTTGGTCTTTTGTCTTCAAGGCATAGACCCAAAGCTTCCTGGAACAATCATCAATAAAGGTAACAAAATAAAGTGCACCACTAAATGACTTTACCTTCAACGGGCCACAAACATCAGAATGCACCAATTCAAGCAACTCTGACTTCCTTGAGGGAGGATGCTTCTTGAAGGATACTCTAGTCTGCTTACCCGCCATGCAATGAGAACATTTCTCCAACTCTGCACTCTTCAATCCCGGAAGCACATCCTTTTTAGCTAAACAATTCAGCCCCTTTTCACTGATATGACTAAGCCTGCGGTGCCACAAAGAAGCCTCCATATCCATGACATTCACACTGTCTTTAGAAATCAATGCTTTAGTCCAATACATTTTATTATCTTTCTCCCCTCTAGCCACAACCAAGTTACCTCTGGTGAGTTTCCATTTTCCAGAACCAAAGTGATTATCATAACCACCTTCATCAAGCATATGCACAAAAATCAAATTGAAGCGAACATCTGGAGCATGTTTGACTCCTCTCAGCAACAACTGCACTCCCATGTTGGTCTGCAAACAAATATCACCAATACCAACTACCTTGGACACACCATCATTACCCATCTTCAACACTCCAAATTCACCAGCAGTGTAAGATGTGAAGAACTCCTTCCTTGGTGTAACATGCAGTGTAGCAGCACTATCAACAACCCACATGCTCTCATCTGATACAAGATTGACTGAATCATGGTCACGAAGAATAATTAGATCATCACAAGTAGCAGTAGTAACACGATCATCATCATCATGATTCTTATCTCTCTGCTTACTATTATTGTTTTTGTTCTCCCTTTTCCATATGAAACAGTTTTTCTGTATGTGCCCCATTTTGTGATAATGATTGCACTCAACATTCTTGTATCTGGACTTGGACTTACTTCTGTTGTTGTCTCTACTCGCACTCCTGCTATTCTGACGGTTCCCTTTCGGTTCCTTTTTCTGACTCCTGCCTCTGTTCTCAGTGACAAGTACCTCATAATGAGATGAAGTACCCTGTGCCTTCCTTCTCATCTCCTCATTCAGAACACTTCCCTTTACACTTTGCAAAGAGACAACACCATCAGAAGCTGAGTTTGTAATTGAAACCCGAAAAGTTTCCCAAGAATCTGGTAGAGTATTCAGTAGCTATAGTCCCAAAATTTCATCATCAAATTTGATACCCATACCTGACAATTGATCTAGGAGCCCTTGAAAATCATTCAAGTGATCAGAAATAGAAGTTCCCTCCTTGTACCTCAAATTCATCAAGGAATTCAACAAATACAACTTATTATTCCCTGATTTAGAAGCATACAAAGATTCAATCTTCTTCCACAAGGATTTGGCATGTTCGTCATTGGCAATGTGATTATAAACATTGTCTTCTACAAATTGCCGAATAAAACCACAAACCTGTTGATGTTCAAAATTCCACTCTTCATCAGTTTCGGATTCCGGCTTCTCACTAGCAAACACAGGAAGATGCATATTTTTCACAAATAACAGATCCTTCATTTTTCCCTTCCACAAATGATAATTAGTGCCATTCAAAGAAATCATTCTATTTGTATTTGCCTCCATCATTCAAACAAGTCAAACAACCCCTTAACCAAAGAGCTCTGATGCCACTCTGATGGGAAATTCAACAATAATTAACAGTAACAACTCTAATAGAGCAATACACAGCGGATATAATTTCCCCAACTTGTTGAATCTGTGAGGAGCAACAACAAATAATGCAGCAACTAAAAATCAATAATACAGAGACACCAAGATTTTTAACGTGGAAAAAACCTTCTCAAAGTGAGAAGTAAAACAACCACGGGCACAAGCCAGTAAACAAACTCCACTATGATCAATGTATGGGTACAAGAGAGTCTCAAATGTAGCACAAATCGTGCTCAACAATCAGCCAAAACAACAAGGCAACAAAACATGAAATAGAGAACAAAGAAGAACCAGAAAACTCCAAAGGGCTGCTACTGTGCATGGCCAATATCTCCCACCTTAGACCTCTGATAGCTGATCACACCATTCAGATTGAAGAACCGGATGTCAGGAACCTGCAGTTCAAATTTCGGCCAAATCGGACGGTGAACGAATGAGATATCGCGATTCTAGTGTAGCTGCTATGTGTATGTGCGAAAATATGTTTCTCTTCTCTTCTCTCACTTTTCTCTTGCCTCTCTTGCCTAAATCAGACCTCTTACACTTACCCTAATTGACCCCTCTCCACTTAGATAAGTGAGACACATGGGCTTGCACATATTGGGCCTTTCTCCACATAGGATTGGAGCCTAAAACCCAACAGTATGAGGTGGACCAGATTATAAAGTTGACATCTAAAGATAAATAACATTCAGATGCACGCCTAAAGAATTATGATATAATTATTAAAATATATTGATCATGTGGGAGATTGTTGAAATATTTTAATAGTATAGTCTTATATTAGTATTCCAATTATTATGTGGCCAAATATATTTATTTAATTATATTAGCTATTTTATCAAATAAAGTGCCTTAAATAATTATGTGATCAAATAATGTTAAAAGACTATTTAGATTTTATTTATGAATTATTTAATTAATTAATTAATTAATTAATTAAATAATTGAGTATGAACTCAAATAATAGTGGATGTCAGGATGACCCATTTGAGAAAAGTGAGAATCCTAATTGGCCATCACACTATATATATAGGCTACAGTCACTAATATACCGTACACAAATAAATTATCTCTTTTCTCCATCTGAAGAATATTCAAGGCATTAAAAATACCAGTTGAGGAAGAACCACACAAGTCATCAAATATTCATTATCTGTATTAACTCTCGCCAATAGAAACTTTCTCGATGGATCCAGATATTCTTAAAATTATTTTATCAATCATACAATTTTATACATGTTTGTATGACTATCAGGTTTCTGCATAAATTATATATTATACTTTGTGAGAATGTATATCTGATTAATTCTAACAATTTAAACTTATTTTCTGCCTTCTCAATTTTTTTTCTTATTTTCTTCCATCTCGACTTTTTTTTCTTTTATTTTTTGCTACAAAAATCTATTTTTCAGAATCAGGAATAGTTGTAGATTCCAACTGTTGAGTTGCATCTTGAGCACAGATTATTCCAAAATATACCCTTAACAACACAACCAAGCTCCACCTTTAAATTTGCAAGAACAACAACAACTTTACAATTCAGTTTTCTCGATAACAATTTAATACTTAATGCTAATATTGTCTCTAATTATAAAACTTTTTAAAGTTTTTTTCTTGTACATTTTTATAAGACTCTCTTCAATTTTTAAATTTTTAAAATGCATTAATTATTTTTCTTCTTCTGAATATACCCGTAATTTTTTTTTTTGTAATCAACAATAAATACACTTGTATAAACATCAATTATTTCACTTTCTTACCGATAAACTTATAAAATTATACAATTAATCAATAAATTTAATACTCCACCTTTCAAAACCTTACTCTCCAAAAGCTTTTTAAAAACCAATCCAAAATTAGAGTTGATAATGAACCGAATCAACTCGAAAATAGTTCGGAATTCGGTTCGAGAATTAAATCGTTGAACTAGATTCACGAACTAAATGAGTTGAATATGAATTAAAAACTAAGTTCGTTAACTAAATGACACTTGAACTATATATAATTTGACTCGTTAGGTTCATAAATCAACTCGATTATATATGAAATGAATTATATTCTTTTTAAGAGGAGGTTTAAAGATTTGCTCTCAATTTTAACCATATATTTTATTTTAATCTAACGATTTTAATTTATAATTTATAATCTCAAATAAGCAAAATATTTTCAAAAATAATTATACAAATAAAATCAATATCATATAAATTTCAATCTTTTATTTTACTATTTTTAATTTTAAAAATATTAATTTAAAAATTAAATATATATTAAAAACAGACTTTAAAAATGACATTTAAGCCGGTGAAATAAATGAGTTGAATCTAAAGTATTAAACGAAGTTCGTGAATCGAGGTTGAATTAGAAAAAAAATTTGTGATAAACTCGAACCAATAATTAAAGTACTTAACCAAAATGTAAAAATGATTTACACGTGAAAGAAGTGTTATATATAACAAAGAAGAGTCCCGTGATTAGTACGTCTCTATAGCAGGAAAGCGGTCCCTAACGATGACTTCATATGGAGACTATCACAACATTATGTAACATGACAATTTTAGTGGTTCACCTTTTCAACTCCCGATAATGGCTACTCATCTGCTAACATTTCCCATCTCCTCCCCACCTAACCTCTCTTTCAATTACACACTCAATCTCAATCATCACCACCGCTTCATTTCTCAACTACCCTCCAAACGACGTTGCTACCGCCACCTCAACCGCCGCCGTATTTCCCGCCCATATTTCCCCGTCTCGAACTCTTTCAGTACTGAAATTCGCTCACCGGAATCACCTCTTCTTCAATCCCAGTCACAAACCAAAGACTCACCGCTTCTTCTCGATGTCACCGGAATGATGTGCGGCGGCTGCGTCTCCCGAGTCAAAACCATTCTCTCCGCCGACGACCGAGTTGACTCCGTCGTGGTCAACATGTTGACCGAAACAGCAGCTGTCAAGCTTAAACGCCTCGAAGAAGAACACGCGAGCGTCGCTGAGAGCCTTGCTCTGCGACTGACCGAATGCGGGTTTCCGACTAAGAAGAGGGAGTCCGGTTTGGGAGTGGCGGAAAATGTTAGGAAGTGGAAGGAATTGGTGAAGAAGAAGGAGGAACTTCTCGCCAAGAGCCGTAACCGCGTCGCTTTCGCTTGGACTTTGGTCGCACTGTGCTGTGGATCGCATGCTTCACATATTTTTCATTCGTTCGGGATTCATATTGCTCATGGTAATGTTCAAACCAACCACGCAATATTCTATTTTCATTATTCAGTTGCAAATTTAATTCAATTTCTAACCAAATTCCTCAAACATAACTTGCTTTTCTTTTTGTAGGACCGGTTATGGAATTTCTTCATAACTCATATGTGAAAGGTGGATTAGCTTTGGGCGCTTTATTGGGACCTGGAAGAGGTTAGTTTGTATCGCTCTCTTGGACAATATCTTTCATTATGCATTTATGGTAAATGTGAATACATCAAGCACGGACACCCGAACACGAAACTGCCAGCGACCTTGCGACACCAATAATAATTAAAAATAAATAAATTAATTAAATATAATCGCAAGTGTCAGTATCTGTGTCTGACACGGACATGGACGCAAACACGCCTTTTTTTCATAGGTGTTGGTGCTTCATAGATGTGAATACATCAATACATCTTTATAAAGTTATTTTAGTAAAATTGTTATTAGATCTCTTCATTTATACACTTTTTTGTAATAAGTGAATTGGTTAGATAAGTCAGTTATTTTGGGACTTAATTTTTTTAGATATTTAAAGTTGCTATTTTTGGTTTTTTAGGGCACGAGTATACTGAGAATTCTTTAAATTATGAATGTATTTGTAAATTTGAAGAAATTGTTTCAAATCTTGCCAGTTCTGGGGTATATTCCTTTATAATTAGGAGTTAATCATAGTGTTATGATTTTCTAACTGCACTAGGCTCGTGAAAATGTTGCAGAGTTACTCTTTGATGGTCTAAATGCTTTCAAGAAAGGGTCGCCAAATATGAACTCTCTCGTGGGATTTGGTTCAATAGCTGCTTTCATCATCAGTTCGGTGAGATTCTCTGTGGGATTTGAGTGTTCCGTTATGTTACGAAACAGCTAAATTTCTGTTTTTTTGTTTTATGTGCTGTTAATTTGAACTTCATCTCTGCTATAGATCTCATTGCTGAACCCTGAGCTGGCATGGGATGCATCATTCTTTGATGAACCGGTGACTTTCTTTACTTTCAAATGTCTCAATATTTTCCATTTGGAAATTTGTTTTTTAAGCTAAGCAAAAGCAAACTACTACTTAACCTGGCTAGGGATTTTGTTTGCTTAGATATAATAACCTCAACTTCTTTATTTGCATTTCTAACATTCATGTTGATAATAAGCTCCTCATATAAGGATTTTGTCTTTTAGCATGCAGGTCATGCTTCTTGGTTTCGTGCTTCTAGGACGTTCTCTGGAAGAAAAAGCAAGGATTCAGGCGTCTAGTGATATGAATGAATTACTTGTAAGTTGCAATGTGATCCATCTCTTTTGTTTGATAATATTCCAGGAAAATAAGTTTTCAAGAAAATTGTTGTCTTTTCTATATTCTTAGTCCTTGTTGGACCATTTTAAAATCTTCTTCCATCTTCCGGCATCCTTATTTTAATTCAAAAGTCTGTTTTTTGAAAATCGTGTTTGATCTCTTTTCCTAAATGTAAAACTTCTTTTTATTTGTGATTTCTGTTAGATTACGTTCCTTAAATTTTTTTTACTTGTGTGGACTTCTAGACCTGATAATTTGTGATCTCAAACAAATTATTACACAGTTCGTAGGCAATGTTTGATAGTATATCATTAGTGGTTGATGACGCTTGAGGCCTTGGAAGCCTAACTGCACCAACATTGTTGGGATAGACTGATCTAATACTATGTTCTCTTTTGATGATTATATGACCTTTGGAAGAGTCGCAGCATAATTAAGAGATTGTGATGGTGTTCCATTTCAAAATCAATCTCATTTCAACTTTCATTTCTAGTTTGAATTTAAAAGTCGTAATCCATGAAGTGGAACATTGGCTAAAGGAAATTAACAAATCAAGAAAAATTGTTTAAAGATCGTAATCCAAGAACTTGAACATTGGCTAAAGGTCTTAATCTAAAAAACAAGAGATAGTATATCATTATTTCTTAGAGAAATTAGTAATCCAAGAACTGGAACATTGGTTAATAGTCTTAATTTAAGACATAAGAGATAGTGTATCATTATTTCTTATAAAAACTAGTAATCCAAGAAACTGGAACATCGGTTAAAGGAAAAATGGATTTTATGAGCATTAAGCATCGTGTTATAGTTTGAATTTAAAGAGTAGCATTGTTTTTTTGACGAGTCATATTTATAAGTTGGTTTAATCATTGGGGTGTATGTTTTTCCCAGTCATTGATATCTACTCAGTCAAGACTTGTCATTACATCATCAGAAGGTTCCCTATCTACTGACAATGTGCTTAGCTCTGATGCAATTTGTGTGGAAGTTCCAACTGATGATATTCGAATAGACTCAGTGTTGGTGTTGCCTGGAGAAACTATTCCTATAGAGGTGGAGCATTTCAGATTGTTGGTGAAACTCTGTTTATGTTAATAACTTTATAATTATGTTATATGTGTGATACGTGAGTTTAGGTTTAAGTGCATGTTTGATTTGGCTTTTGGAATGACCAAAAGCAATTCTAGAGATGTAGAATTGATTCTACTTAAAGTTAGAATGAATTTGTAGCTTCTGTCTCCAAAAATGATTCTGAGTGATTTTTTTCACTGAAATTTATTGTTCAACTCACTTTTACATAAATGTATCTAAACATAAATCAATTTTGCTAAACTCAATTCTGATAAAATCAATTCTACTAAACTTAATTCTGCTAGAATCAATTCTGCCCCACTGCTAATCCGAACACACCACTTTAAAAGCATCTGAAGTATCTAAAGTGGGCCCAATCTTCCACCACCTATAGTAATAGCATTGGCTTAGAAAACAGTTATACAATTGTTTACAACGTTGAACATGAGGCATCCCCTCACGATTTAAGAAGGAATATATGACGAGTCTTGTTGGTTCACATGGTATTGCTTGCTAATATTATAAACTTCTGGGCAGGGAAGGGTTGTTGCAGGAAGAAGCGTTGTGGACGAATCCATGCTTACAGGAGAATCACTTCCTGTATTTAAGGAGGAAGGCTTCACAGTTTCAGCAGGAACTATAAATTGGGTAAGGTTTTGAAATCAAACTTGAATTTTATGATGTCTCGCTAAATTAACAGCTGGGGCGCATCTGATGTTTTGATCTTGTCCCCCTTTGATTTGGAGGGCAATCATTAATCTATTGCATTTGCCAACAAATATCTATTTCAGGATGGTCCTTTAAGGATTGAATCTTCTTCGACTGGCTCCAACACAATGATATCCAAGATTGTACGCATGGTTAGTATCACAACTTCTGTAGTGGCTTAGTGGTTAGACTATATAGTGTTAATGAGATAATCTAGTTTTTCTGCGTTCTTTCCCAATTAAGAATGTAATTTCTGGCATCCTTAGTTTTTGTAGTTTTATAGGACAGTGCATTGCATATAACTTAATTTATTAATCTAATTTCAAAACCATGCATTCTGGAATCTGTTAGCAACCACAACAATCCACAAATTAGGAAAGTTAACAACAAGAGAAGTAAGAATGTTGCCAAGAAATCAACTCAGCCAAAGTTAATTAAGACTCATCAGTTAAGAGCATACCTTTCAAGCCATTAGTTAGGTTGTTATAAATAAGAGGTAGATGGGGGCATTTGGGGAATTTCAGAAACAGGTGCCATTTACCACCCTTCCAAACTGTAGCAGTGTGAATATCAATGGCCATTCAACAAATAAGTAAATAGGAGCTCCTTCTCGGAACTGAGTTTGGAAGTCAGTTTAGTTGATCAGTCAGTTTTGGGTGGGTAGAGACCAGTCTCTCCAATTGCTGGGGAAGAAATCTCTCTCTCTCTCTCTCTCTCTCTCTCTCTCTCTCT